ATGCCATGGTGCATTCATCAATAATGAGAAGTTGGGCCTTTTTAATAGTTTTAGCAACTTTACTGTTTATATCGAGTCTAGAAATTGAAGTTTCATTTAATGGAATCGGTCATTTCTATTGGGAATGAAAGGTGCTTCCACCGAGAAGTAAATTTGCAGCAATTCCTGTAGACGCTGTGGGTAAAACAGTACTACCACGACCTCTAATATAATGTATTAAATCTTCATAAAGATATGCCTCCACGCTCCAAGGGCCGGTTTCTGCCTCAAACCTCGCCCTCCCGGGAAACAGCTCAGGGGAGGTGCAGGGGGGTGGGGGGGTGCAGCCCTTGGCAAGGCGACCCAGGACTCTGCGCCCAGGCTCCAAGGGCCGGTTCCTGCCTCAAACCTCACCCTCACAGGAAACAGCTTGAGGAGGGCACAGCCATTTCCAAGAGGACCCCTGCAGGACTGACTTCCTTCTGGTTGGTCGAGCCTTGGTCGTGTCGCTTTACACCCACGGTTTTTATATAAATAGATAATACTATTGTTACTCTGAATGGTAACACCTCTTTTGTATTCACTGAATCAAAGAGAGAAAGGTAGAAGGTAATTCTAGATAGAAAAAAAGGATTCAGCAAAGACAGGAACCAGGTAGTATTACTGTCTATAACATGGGTAGGCAGAAACATGGCTACCCAAAGATGTCCACATCTTAACTTCCAGAACCTGTTAACGTGTTACAGTAGATCAACGGTCTCGAACCCTTTGGGGGTGGAACGACCCTTTCACAGGGGTCGCCTAAGACCATTGGAAAACACATATATAAGTACATATTGTTTTTGTGATTAATCACTATGCTTTAATTATGTTCAATTTGTAACAATGAAATTGGGGGGTCACCACAACATGAGGAACTGTATTAAAGGGTCGCGGCATTAGGAAGGTTGAGAACCTCTGCAGATATGATTACTGTTAAGAATCCAAGATGGGGAGATTATCCTGGGTTATCTGAGTGGATCAAATCTATAATCATGTAGCCTTAAAAGTGGAAGATTATGGAAAAACTGTGTCAGAAAAATGCAAACTGAGAAGGCCCTGATTGGCCATGTTGATTCTCAAGATGGAAGGAAATCCAAAGATCCTAGGAGGAAAGGCTGATTCAGGGCCTGGAGCACAGAAAGTGCAAGGTGAGTCAGAAAATAAAATTTTGCACCAAAAAATAAGAAAATACTGAAAGATTGATGAATAAATATTAAAAGAACACAAAACTTGCTTGATGATAAGTCATCTGGCCAAATCTAGAATTATCTATGCATCAAAATAATGATAGCCATGGATTATATAATCCATTGAATAAAATAAGAATCAATAATTCCATAATGAAATAAATAAAGTAAAAAGAAAAGGAGAAAGGAAGTTCTTTCCTGCAATAGTGTGTCAACTAATGCATACAGAAGAAATGACGGAGTTAGAGAATCAGCAATAGACTCTAAAATTAAAAGGTGGAAGTTCCATAAAGAACATAGTCTGAAGTATTTCCCCCAAAATTACTGATTAATCATGAAGAGTAAAATAATAGTAACTCTATGGTATGAACTGACATACATCACCAATATTGGAGCAAACCAAAATTGTGTACTCTTTTTTTTTTAATCTTTTTATTTTTAATTTTAATTTTATTTTTTTAATTGTTTTATTGCTTAAAGTATTACAAAGAGTATTACCTATGTCTCCTTTTTTTCCCGCCCTTGATAATCCCCTGGCCTCCCCTACCCCCCAGTGTCTTATGTCCATTGGTCATGCATACAAGTCCTTCGGTTGATCTCTTACCCCCCCCCCACAACCCTCCCCGGCCTTCCCCCTGTAGTTTGACAGTCTGTTCGATGTTGCTCTGCCTCTGTATCTATTTTTGTTCATCAGTTTATAGTGGTGATCATGTGGTATTTTTCCTTCATTGACTGGCTTATTTCACTTAGCATAATGCTTTCCAGTTCCATCCATGCTGTTGCAAATGGTAAGAGTTCCTTCTTTTTTACAGCAGCATAGTATTCCATCGTGTAGATGTACCACAGTTTTCTAATCCATTCATCTACTGATGGGCACTTAGGCTGTTTCCAGATCTTAGCTATGGTGAATTGTGCTGCTATGAACATAGGGGTGCATATATCCTTTCTGATTGGTGTTTCTGTTTTCTTGGGATATATTCCTAGAAGTGGGATCATGGGGTCAAATGATATCATGCATGGACGATAAAGATCACATCGAAGGTACTTCTGTCAAAAAAAAGCATTACCTAAATCTACTTATGAGAATACATATGACAAACTCAAATTGAGGGTCATTCTATAAATGTCCTATACTTCAAAAAAAAATGTCAATACCAAGGAAGTTTTAAAAAGACTAAGGAATGGTTCAACATTAAAGGAGAATAAAGAGATATGACAACTAAATGCAAAGTGTGAACCTAGATTTAGTCCTGGAGTTGAGGAATATCAGCTATCAAGTACATTATGTGACAATTAACGAACTTTCAAGCATGGCTTATAGATTGATAATATTGAATCAATGTAAAATTGCCTGATTCTGATAACTGCACTGTAATTATGAAATAATATTCTTAGGAAATATGTACCAATGTATTAGAGGTAAAAGGTCATAAAATTTCCAACTTTTTTCTCAAATGGTTCAGAAAATAATTATGTAATATGTAATTTATATGGTCTTTGTAATCACTCAACTTTTCTGTGTAAAATTATATCAAAATACAATGTTATTTAAAAATTTCCCATACTGTACATATTCCTAGTTCAGGTGCTACTGAGACTGCCTGTATTTTCACAAGTATTTCAATGCACTAGTAGATGTGGCCAATGACAAACAGGGTAACAACAACTGGCTTTCATCAAAATATTTTTATTTCTTGAAATGTTACAAGACCACGGCTATTCTCAAGGATAATTTTCATCCATATTGCTTGTCAAAAGCAAAGATTCACTGGAGCAAGTCCTATAATTTTTCCATGTTTGTGACTATGCTCATCCCCCACCTAAAATTCTCTTAACTTTCTCATTTTTCTGCAACTGCTCAAAAAACAATTCAAATGCTACCTCCTACCTAAAGTTTTCACTGATCCTGCCAATAACTATGCCTTTCTTATGACATTTAGTGCTCCATAGTGATTACCTCACATTCTCATTTGCCCACCAAAGTGAGCCCTTAATAAGTAAGAATTACATGTATCCTACTTTATTGTAGCATCAACCACACTGTAGATACACATGAACAATGAATGAATGAAAAATAATTGGTAGTGCTCACAAAAATGTGACTTTTCAGTTTATAAAAACACACAAGCAATACATTTAAAATATTTTAAAAATTACTTTTTGTATTGAAAGTAAATTCACAAGATTTAAACA